CTCCGGCGGGAACCCCTGATCCAACATGGGCTACCAACCAACCAACCAACTGTGACTGTCGCTGGAGAAGATACTGGGTGAAGCTTTCCAGATGCGCTGCCGCCAATCGTCACGCGTGGAGGGGTATCGTCCATGACATCATTGAGGCCAGCTAGATCAGGCATGATCACAGCCGTAACAAGTACAAGTAAGTGACTGTCTCTGAGGATGGGTTCGCACGAGAATCCAAAATGTTAGGTTCATCCACTGCTTGTTCGAGCGATCACACAATTAACATGTTCCCGTGGAAAGAAAACGGAACGTCGGTATTCTGACACATTGTAAGGTTTTTAGAATCAAAATAACGAAGACTAAAATTGTGAGATATAAGTGGGTGGATAGTGTGGTGGTGATGGGGAGTCAGGGGTACCTGAAGTTGATGAACGAGTCGCAACACGAGGAGAGCGTCAGAGAGGCAGAAGTCAATCAGGTCCTTGATATGAGCGGAGGAATCAAAGAGACAACGCAAGTCAGCTGAATCCACTTCCAGGTCAATGCCGGAGAGGGATTCTTCACCACCACCACCACCGTCGCTGGCGACAATCGACTGTGAGAACTGGGCGCGCACACAGGGTGGAATTTGGCGTTTCTGTTGTTGATTTGAAGGCAACACCTGGTGAGCTAGTTCACTGAGGTTGTAAGTACGAGATCGAATAAGCTCTTTCGCGGAGACCCGGCTGTCGCAGATGAGGCGACCAGGCATGGCATTGCGCATGAACCAGCCCTGTAAAAGGAAACAAAAGGATTGCCTGTGTTAGCGTTGTTCGATACAGCAGCACACTCACATTTGCTTTCAATGTTTTGCCGACAGATTATATTTACTAATGCAATCAAAATAAGTTCCGGAGATGATGAATACTGACGGTGGAATTCAGAAAAAGCTTCAATGTATCAACTGGCCTTAGTATGGCGTCACAGAGACTGGTACTTCTAGCTGCCAGGAATTGAAGTGTGTACCGACTCCAAAAACTGGTCAATCTACCAACGCGACCAGCCAACTATCTTTTTAATCACCACATGACACGTTCAGCATATTTTAACACAACTTGACGAAGTAAAAGAGGTCAAGACATGAAACGGATGCTGATGGTAAAATTAACAGATTCGGTGAATCGCTGAGGTCCTATTTCTCAGCATTCAAATGAAATTCTCACTTAGATTTCGGGTCTCCAGCATCAAAACTAATAGGAAACAACGTGAAACTTTAACGCGGTCCAGTATTTTTACTGGAAAATGTAAAGGTGCGTTCAAAAGAGATTTATCGTTGATTTGCCGTCATCAGATGGAGTTGCTCCAACTCCAGGTTAAAAGAAGCTGCAAGTTACCTCGGTTCCACTTCAGTCCCCAGCTGAATAGGCATTGAGCTACGGACCCATACCATGTCGGTTGCTGGATCATTCAGCCACGTTAGAGTGAAATTCACCAAGCCATTCTGATCAAACGACAGATAATGAGCACTTCAGATTTGCCTGACGATCAGTAATTGATAAATAAAAGAGTTTGCGGCAGGCACGTCAGAGGTTGTCATGAACACTGTTGCATATTTTTCGGCCGGTGCCAATAAGGTGGCAGACTCGCAGCAAGCAGATCACGTGAGTGCTATGTTTAACGATCAGCTGTACTAAACAGACATTCGTGAAGACCTACCCGTGAAAAGATCATTGAATAACCGGCCGACCTTCGTAGGCGACTAATACGGTGCCAGTGTGGGACCTTGTGTGCGTTGAGGCGATGTAGAAGAAGGTCCAGCTGATAACCCCAAAGATCGTGGCCAACGATGAGGTCTGGATCGAGGCGGTGGATGCGTGTCAGTAGACGTCCTAAAAGAGCTCTTTCGTTTGGTTCAATATCGACGCCACCGGAAAAGGCGCTGTTAGTGGTCTCACCAGTAGCAGCAGTGGACTTGGGCGGCTGATACTGTGCACCCCAAGAGGGCAGCTTCTTGGAGAGATCGTAGGGCAGCACAGAACCCTTTGGTGGAGATAAAACTGGAGACAGAAAGGAAGACAGTGTAATGGTTCTGTTGGGAAACACGAAACTAAACGACACTGGTACATCACTACCCAGTTAATAGAAGATGGGCTTCTGAGAGAGTTTGAAAGCTCAGGAAAATAAGCAAATGGTTCAGGTGCCCGACCACTGAAATAGCGGTAATGTGCAGTAACAAACTCATCCGAAAAATGCCCACTGAAAAGTAAAAGCGTTAGATCAGATAAACTGATGGCTTTTTGTTCCCCTCTGTTGGCGGGCAGTTAAAACTGGGCGAAACAGAACAGTGCACAGGAATAGTTCTCCTCAGGGCCACGAACGCCTGGACGGTGACCTATTAAACAACAACACGAAGAAGGCGCCGCCGGTCTCTGACCATGCTCAACGTTTGAGAATCGATCTAAAGGTCGAAGACGCGGCATCCTCAAGAAGTACCAAAAGGAGCGGGAAGGAGAGGGTGTGCAGACTTAATGCAGGGTGGCTCCGATTGTAACACAGTACATTCTGAACACCTCTTTGTTCGACTGGATGGCATAGCAATGGGCAAGCGATGAAAAGCGAATACCTTTTTAAAAGTTCCATCTGAGAAAAACATAAGATAAGTGAACAAAAAATCCCCCAAATTAAGTAATGAATAAGTTACAAAAATTGTTCAAAGTAGGTGGGCAGCATTCAGAACACCTTCCTTAAAAAATAAAGCTACCTTTATATTGAACTATCTGTAGATAGGATGGTTTTGTACTAACCAGTAGGAAATGGCGGTTTAGGAGGTGTAGGCAATCATTTACAGAAACTTACCTAGGTAGTGCGACTGGAATGTCTTTGAGCCAGCTGGCTGATCAAGGTAGCAATGGTTGTCGATTAAAAGGCCAACAGCGATTATCTGAAACCAAAAAGGTACCTTTAACGCGATCTTACCACGCTGCTAAAAAGGACACAAGGTCGCCTTCATTAGTGGCATCCTTGTTGTGAGCAGTTCTAAATCAATTGTACCATCCGGTCACAGAACTTAGTTATTTTTTTTTCTCATAAAGACACATTTTGGGGCTTTAAAAAAGCTCACAAACGGACGTCTGGGATGTGTGATTGCAGGACAGTCGGCAAGGCAGACTTGGCTCATTGCATCGGTGCAAAAAAAAATTCGATGTAACAAGGGAAGACGATCATCATTTTTTTCCACGGGAGAAAGGGAAACTAACCTCAGAGGAGTTGGTCTCGCGACGGACAACCGACTTGATATCCAAAGCAACCAGCCGTAGAGGGGGTGGTGGTGGTAGTGACGGCAAACGAGTATCGTCGGCGACTGCTGTGCGAGCCCTAATTGCGTCGCTCAGTTTCATTATACTGTTGGGTTTCTGGTAGGAGAAGTCATAGTCTACCTTGCACCAGCTTATTTGTGGCTGAAGTGGTACTAAAAAGAGGTAGAAAGTGTGGTGTCGAAAAGACAGATGGGTGGCGGGGAGAGGGGTATGGCAAAGACCGGCTTTTCTCTGTTCTGCCTATTTCAGTTGAGTTTTATTCCAACAGTCTACATAGATTAAGACTTACAATGGTCTACCAACTGCATAGAACGCGTAGAACGTAATGGATGTATTGAATCAAGGACGTTATTTACGGAAATCGTTCAGTAGAAGTGCATGACCGCATCTGAATAAAACAGAAGTTATTTGGTGCGAGGCCGGTCAACTAAGCTTTTCCAAAAAGTACAAAACATATTGTTTACGTACTCCAGTCAGTGTACCGCGAGGTTCAGTGCTTAGCTTAGCGAGAAAATATAGCTACTTTCAAAAGCCAGTCGCAATCGAGTCATCAGATGAAGATGTGAACAAGTTCGTGCAAATAGAGGCACCACCCTCAGAGCTTTAAGGAATTTGTCCATACGGCAGGACATAAAAGACGATCACATGCAGATACTATATGCGTGTGGAAAATAATTCACTTTCGATTTTTCTAAAAATATGAGAGGGTGTACTCCGAATAACTAGGCTGGTATTTTGAAGTTAAAGCAAGCAAGGCTTTTATGAAACAAAATAAAAGGGCATTAACTAGGCAGGAAGGAAACCTAAGCATATCTAATAATGCTCGGACGCAGGCCTTATCAGCAGCAGGGCTATGTTACCTTCCTTACTGCCTAAGCGAATTAAATGAAGGAAAATGTATAGCCGGCAGGCGTAGCGTTGACCGTCCTCGGTCGACGGTCAGGCAAATGACCTTGACTCATAAACCGCTGCTCGCTCAGACGTCAGGAACAGGGAGATGCTGCGATTACACATGGCAGTAGCGATTGTGACGATGAACACTAACTTTTCATATTGAACCGTCGTTACTCCCTCTCTACATCTGGCAATTCTTTGACCTTGTTCACCACTTGGCCTACTTCACTAAACATACAGGTCATTATTTCCATCTGAACTGTAATCATGGGATAGTTAGTAAGCTACGAAAACGTTGTTTATGAGGAGAATAAAATACGGGCGGAAATGGTGCAGCGAGTTAATCCAGGATTGCCAATGCTGTTGGCTGCCGAAGTTTGCGACCGACAGGTGACATCTAACACGTCAAAAGGGGCTTCTTTAATAATTAGGCCTGTCTGAAAGTCTGAAGAAAGTCAACGCCCACAAATCATGACAGCCAGCAAATCAAATGACCTGTTTCTTAATCGCTGTTCTTCCATTCCTCTGTTGACATTTATACCAGTTTTAAAAGCCTAACCGGCCAATTAACTATATAAGGTTATGTAGATGAAGACTTGGGCCATAATTATAATTATCGCTCCACCAGCGAATTAAATTTTCCACCAAGTAATTTTTAATCATGGCCAATTGTTGGTTTTGTGTCGGTGAATGTAAGCGAGAAACAGTTTCAAAATGTATGTGGTTCAACAGCTACTGCATCACTTGATATCTCTATACTTTTCCTAAAAACAAACTCCACTCAGGTAGCACTTAGTTTTGCATGCTTTTCCAGAGTAAAAATTTCGCCGTCTGCACGATCCCTTCGACTACTGGTGTCTTGACTTTATTTGGACAATGCCACAGTCTAACGACACTTTGTAACGCCCGACGCTCTGATAATCGGATTATTGGTCATGTTGCCCATTCTCCTCACTCGGACCTAATTCCTGCGAAGTCACTTCGCCCAACTCTAGCTTAACCCGCGTCATATCTTCTGTGGTACTTTGACGTATCAACTATGCAATCGTAGCACGATTTTGACGTGAATTCAAAAAAACTGAGACTAGCACTGTCATCCTAATAGTGCCATCGTTCTAAGCCAATATCTTTTTTTCTCGGCTCCCGGGTAACTGCATCTCAATAAAGGTGAATGAGAAACGTTTTTGATGAAGATGTGGTGGCCTCTCTCGCCCTTAAGGACCAAAGTGTTCATACAGTACGCTCCACAGGCCGGAAGGAATGGTTTCCTGCAAGCCGCTTTTTACAATGCAAGAGGATATACATGCCCGAGAGTCGTGCAGATTTCAGTGATGTATGATGGTATAGGACTTCATGCTCTATGCTTGAAATGGGCAAACTGACCGAGCCAGGGTAATAGCAGGGGCTGGATGTTGCTATTAACCTGCACTGATACCGCTCTCAGTGCCTTGGCCGCAGTCTAACAATCAAAGGCAGGCAATATGATTTAACTAATTGGGGTCAGCATTACAAATTCAAATGCATCTAGGTAGTATTTAGTAATAAGAAAACTCACCTGCTCCAGTTAGTTCCAACCAGCATGGCCCGCGCAGACGGAGGTCGAGTATTAAGTTTTCAAGGCTGCATACAAAAAATAATGGAAAGTTAACGGGCTGATGGATCCTTTTAGACAACAATAGGTTGGATTGTGGTCATTTTACGGTAAAACGGCTCGTTTCAACTTTCAAATCTTTTTGGATATATTATTATAGCATTTAACTAAGTAAGATCACAATCGACTTTTAAGGAAAATCGTCACCATCGATTTCGGCGAATGAGCTATCTGCTTGACCCTCGACATAGATGGCACTGTCACATTAAGCCTCCGGGGAACGGAAATCCTGTTAACGGACAAATGCTAACCCTTCTTCGGCTTTTTAATCTCCCCAGAAATGCCAGAACTGACAGTAGATCTTTCGGAATGAAGCTATATAAGCTCAGACAGGAAACTGATATATTTGAGCCAAAATCCAGCAAACACAGTGGGATAGCCGCACAAACATGTCGTAGAATTCACCATACCGACAGCAGATATACTAACGAAAAGTCCAGACACTCGTCCCTTACTTATATTCTGCCGCTACGGTGCGGAGTCTGGGTCATAAATGGATCCTACAATGTCCCCCGTGTGCTTCCTCGTAGGTAGTTCAGTTATGAAGCCTATGAAGCTTTATTCCGAAGTGGGGCACTAATTTCTGAGGGAGATTAAAAAGCTGCATTCTCAAAACTATAGTTCCCACCAGGTAGCATACAGTGAAAACTGTGCGAAACTACTGATGAAACCAACCCCTCACTGCTCAGCAGCAGAATCTCCGTGAAACACTTGTCTGAGTTTTAGTCGTACGTACGCTGTCACTCAGGCGTGTCATACATGTAAATTCAGCTTGTGCTTTTTTCAAATGACATAAGGAAAGGAGGAAGTAAGGAAAATGACGACACCACGAAGGGCAAACGGGTTTAATAGATCAGTGGCTTTAATTAATGAAACTTATGAATCATGACGTTTCACGTGTGTTCACCAACCTGCCTTGACTGTAGCATGGAATGGGGACAACTCCGTTTTGCTTTAGTAAATGCCAATCCTGTGTGGTTTTGAATATTACCCATCATGGTTTGCAAGATATGAAGCCACGGGTCAGAAGATACAGCAGTTGACTCAAGTGCTTGTTTAACAACTGATGCAAGCTCAGGCATGTTGGATTAGCGCTATGAAATAGGACAGAAATGGCCATTCCGGTCCCCTTTGTCTTGGTCTGTAGCACTTTCTACTACTCTGTCGATAAAAATATCAGAAGATAGTACACAACTCTGCGGCTGGCCGCCATGGTTGATGACGGTCTCTCTAAGCTCGCCTCGCAAACAAAGGAACTCCAGAAAACCCGTTCGCAGACCATTATTTTACCATGGGGTGGCAGAGGAGGCTTTTAGGGGGTTAGCGCAAAGCGGAGCTAACAGAGTGAACATTGACGAGGTGAATGGAGACTGGAGAATAAGTGGTTGTATATTTTTGGACAATATATTAATCCTACGTAAGGCCATATACTGCCAGACGATGCATTCGTTAAGTCAGTAGCAGGGGACTGGCATCGAGAGGAAAGGCTGTTTATAGAAAGCATAAGCGAGTTGAACGTGAAG